ACCAATGATATATGAGTATATTTACAAAAAGATTTCAGTCGACTTATTGTTCGGTGATTCAGCAGCATTGTCAAAATATTCAACGCAACGTATTTGTGGTGAATTTAGATCCAGCTGCCGAAAGTTTCAAATATTCGCCTTGTGTTGGTCAGCATTACAATGTGACACTTTCTGCAAATGTTATTCAACTCAGAAAGAAGCTGTGAAAAAAATCATAAAATAAAAAGAATTTCAAATCGCATACGAACACTGTAATGAATCAATTCAGACGTTCGTGAATTGATCAGTGTTGATGATGTACAAGAGGATGTTGAGCTGGTGTTAGGACCGAACGGAGCGTTGGTGTTCTGCATGGAGTATTTGGTGCAGAATTTGGATTGGTTACATGATCAGATGAATGAAGCAGAGGATGATTATTTCATTTTTGATTGTCCTGGTTAGTTGCGAGACAGACTTGTTTTGGGCTTCAGTGAAATCAGGGACTCAAACGAAATTTCACGAAATTTCAGACGAGTGTTGAATGCGTCGATGAGATATTTTGCGTTTTTGGCCACTCGAGGTATCACGGGAATTTCATGTGTGAGATATGAAATTCTCTGAATTATTAGTTTCTTGTTCTAGTTGAAGTGTGGTTCTGAATTCAGGTCAGATTGAACTATACAGCCATCTGCCAATAATGCGACAAATTGTTGATGCCTTCAAGCAATGGGATTTCAGTATATGTGCGANTACAGCCATCTGCCAATAATGCGACAAATTGTTGATGCCTTCAAGCAATGGGATTTCAGTATATGTGCGACATTTCTACTGGATACACATTTCGTATTGGATGCTGAAAAGTTTTTAGGTGGTGCGCTCACGACCCTATCGACTATGACGGCTCTAGAGGTGGTTTTCATTGATTTGGATTGATTCTCGATTAGTCGCTTGCTTTAATTTATCAGAATTGATTGAGTTTCGGCATTTCTGAGGCCAGAATCTTGGCGAAAGTTTATGTCTTCAAAGCAAAACTATTCTACCGAAGCGAGAAACGAATCGCCATTGTAATGTTTTTACTGTTGAAGGTACCGTCAGTGAATGTACTATCGAAAGTGGATCTGTTATCCGAGCGGAATAAAGCTTTGTTAGAGTCTTTTCTGGACACTGACACTCGCTCGATTCTACAAGGCGAAGAGGAAACACCTTGGAATAAGAAATATCTCAAACTTGGAGAAGCTATAGCGACGGTTTTGGACGATTATAGCTTAGTGGGTTGATTGATTGGCAGTTTTTTCTGTCTTTTGAGAGGTACATTTGGGGAGATTCTCAGCCAAAACTCCCTTTCAAACCCCTTAGTGAGTAGGGGTTTGAAAGGGAGTTTTGGCTGGAAATCCATTGGGTTCTAGAGGTGAAAGTTAGCTGAAGTATTGTTTCCAAGCAATGACTGGGAAAAGATCAGAGGAAAATCAGAACATCAAGTTGAATTTCGCTAGGAAATGAGGAATTTGATCTGAGAAGTTCGGATTTCAGGTCAAATTTGTGCCGTTGAACATTGAAGATGAAGAATCTGTGGAGGAACTGTTACTGATAATTGACAGTACCATTCAGTACGGAGAAGATGCTGATGTAAGAAGTTTTATTCATTGGACGATTTCGAATCTGTTTGCGCAAATTTATTTTGAGGGAAATATTATGTAGAGTTTTAGAAAATTTGATGTTTTTAATGTGGAAAATTATTTCGAATACGGAAAATCGATGAAGTTTTGATGAGTTGAAGTGGAATGGGCGATTGTTGAAGTGTTCATTCAGTTCATTGTGAGATTTTTCATGGAATGGAAATTCTTTTCGTATCGATTTTACAAGTTTTCTCATGTTTTTATTCAATTCAATCGGCTTTTACAGGTGAAAGACAGGTACCCTGAAGAGTTTGACGATCAAGACGGTCAAGGTGATATACCACTGGAGTAACTAATTGATGCACAAGAAACATTTATGAAATGGAAGATTTTCATAATTTTCATCGCAAAACAACGATCAATCTCCCGTGATCTATTTGTAATATGAACGTGAATATTTTATGATGTACACGTAGAAGTTCAGAGATTTTTTGCATTGTTTTTCGTTTTGTATTTTATGGAAACAGAAGTTGAAAGGGAAATTGTTCGGAATTAAAACTAAACAATTGCTCGACATCGTTAATCCACTGAGATCTAACTGATTGATATTGTTAACCCACTATCAAATTTTATCAACGAAGTATTCGAAATGAGCAACTGCAGTGTTCAGCATCAATCAGATGTAGGAATAAGCATCTGTCTTATTGGAAGAGTAATTCAGAAGACGGTGGATGTGATCTGCTATTGTTATTGTTGTACAGTGCTGTTGACTATTTGTCTATTAATTATTGTTATTAATATTTTTTAATTATTGTATTATCATTATACGAGATGTTTCTTGAAAACAATTCATTGGAATAAAGAAGTAATTTGACAACTTTTACATTTGTCGTATTACAATATTTACGAGATGAACACATTTCATTGAAAACATTCAATGACGACAGGCAACAGAAAAAGGTAGGGTAAGATCTGGTTTATTGCGTTTATGGCCCTGAAGAGAGCCAAAGGGTTCAGAAGCTGCGCATGGGGGGACGAGTTGATGAGATGCAACCGAAACCCCTAGTTAGAGGCTTTGAAAACATGAACTTTGGGTACAGTTTGATACAGACTTCAGACTTGGACAGATATATGAAACTATCCATGGATGGATAAAGCGTAGTCTGCATATGAGCCGAATGGAGCCCTAATCGCAAGTTACATTGAGCAGGTGTATTTGGTGACAGCCTTCGTATCTCCAGGAACCACATGCTTTTCTTACACTCCAACCCTTATATTGCTATAGTAATGATCGATCTATACTGATGCAATGAATAACAACGGCATAGAGAAAATGCTGTGTTACTGGGCGAACCTGATTGTGGCATTACGGCTAGCTCAAAGGTGATAAACCTTATAGTAGAATAGTAGTGAGTGAAGCCCATACGCGAGATTTAAAAAATTTGCTATATCACGATACTCCAAGGTTTGCTCAGTAACATGGCGATTTCCCAACACACTACGATTTCACAAAGCCCCGAGTTCTTAAAAACATAATTTTTGTTGAGCAATTCTGTTTACATGAGGAGGTATAGCTATTTTCATAAAGATATCTCAACTAGTACGACGGTGCTCATTCCTATACATTGTATCACTGTAGATCAATGTATAAATTACTATAGCACTATAAGGGTTACCATATTGAAGCAATCGGTACCCTCAGGTTTGGCCAGTAACACACCAATTTCTCTACAACATCTGATTCCGCAGAACCTCTAGATTCAGAACAATACGTATCACGCTGAGCAATTCTGCTCACTTGACGAGATACAGCTCTTGTCTTAAAGGTATGTCAAAGCTATAAGGGTGAATGAGCGCCAATGCGCTAGCTGAGATAGCTTCAATAAAATAGCTACATCTGCTCACGAGAGCTGAATTCCTTAGCAAAATATATGTTAATCATGATCTAGAGATTCCGCTCGATCGAATGCACCAATGATGATATTAGTGGTGAGAATTTCTATGAGATTCTGAACAGCAAT